TTTTTTTTTTTTTTTTTTTTTTTTTTTTTTTGAATTTTGCTTAAGAATTATGAACTTCGATATTCAGGACTTTAATTTACAAGGAAGTACAGGGGAATTTAATATTTGCTCTTTATTTTTTCCTCAGATATTTGGCAAGGGAAAGAGGTCCACCATATTGGGTTCACAGCTTAATCTCTAGTGAGTTTTATTGGACAACCTAGATGGGCCTAATTTGGTATGGAAATTATCATGAGCAGTGATTTTTTGGCTTGAGGTACAACCTAGCTTCTGGAACAAGAGTTAAACTACCTGGTCATGGTCCCAGGAGGCTAATGGAACAGTGAAGTATCAGAGTTCTGCCTCATAAATTTGGAAGCAAGACTTCTGCTCCTGGGTAAAAAGAACTTTATTTTTAATCCAAAAGGTTTAAAAGACCAAAGTCTGCAAATGGTGGAAGAAAACCTTTTCTAGCATTCTGTTTCTCTCACAAAGCAGGACTTCATTTTGGCAGTACTGGGAAAAATAGTTCCTGTCCTTCTCTCTACCTCTTCACCTACTTCTCCACAAGGAAGAATGACTCTTCAGATTGCTGAGCTGAGAGGAGAAAGGAACCAAGAAGCATGCCCAGCTTAGCCAGCTCTGGAAAGATAACTCACAGGCTGGGTGTTTTCTGCTCTGTTCCTCTGTCCGTGAGTTAGGAATATTTGAGTCAGGCCTACTTTCTGAGGGTAAGTCAGAAACTCCTTTCTCAGTGCACTGTACAAAAAATCAGTGGACAGGAGGCAGTAATTCTGGGTAAATGTGTCTGCTCTGCAGACCTGTCTCTTGCTTAGGGTGTCATCCCAAGTTCCAGACTTGGAAGAAAAGAATTGGGAAGCCCAAATGAGACTACTTATCCAAGCTGAGCTCTCCAATCTAGGTGGTGATGGTGGTTGTTATAAAACTGATACGTTTTTGACCTCTCATCAAATCCCCGTAAGTTTGGAACCAATTAAGGGTATAAGTAATTATCATCCTCGAATCCCAGCAAATATTAATGGCTAGTATTTGTTTAGTACCTAGAATGTTCCAGACACTACGTTAAGAGCTTTACAGGCATTGATCCATGTAATTCCTCACAACAGCTCTATGAGGTTATACAC